CGAAGCTATCTTACTTAAATAGAGTTCCACATCCATGTAGGAATTAACTGTAGGAAAAGTCTGTTTATTAGTATATTTTCATTGAACTGCACAGTATACTCTCATTTGACTCACAAGAAGTCGCGGACACGATAAGGCTTGTCTTTGATGAAAGTTACGAACATGATATTGAGACGTGTCATAGCCTGTCAGCAAGCGTTGATGTTTTGAGATTTAATTTATCTATGATGTAGGTGGTGTCATGTGCCTAGTAATGTGTGTCAACAGCGCACTGAGCTGTCAGAGTCGCTTATACGCTGCCGGTACCGTAGTGAGCGCAACCACGAAGAAGTCGGGCGATGTCACCGGGCCCCCGACGCTAAGGTCCCGCGGCGTCCGCGAGCGCATCCGGGCTCCGCTTCGCCAGGAGTTGCCCAACGCACGCGTCCGCGTGCGCGCGCGTGACTCGCGGCGGCGGCGGCGGCGGCGGATGAGCTCACCGCGCGCGGAGGAACGTGATGCCATCGAGCGGCGCACCCCCCACCCCACCCCACCCCCCGTCAGCTCAACCTGCCACGCCCACCACACCGCCACCAGCTCACCCAACCTTACCGATCCGCCCAGCCAACCACCTGCACCGCCCATCCGACCTCACGTGCCCGGACCCGCCGCCCCGCCCCCACGCCTGGCTCACTGCCCGCCAAACAACCTTACTGCTCGTTTAGTCAACACCACCTGCCCGCCCAGTCAACCTCACCCTGCCCACGCACCACGCGCCCCGCCAGATCACCCACCTCGCCCACCCAACCTCGCCCCCCAAAATATGGTTCGACTTGTGTATAAATAAAATCGATGTGCGGGAGAGAGAGTTTGTTATCACTAAATTATTTAATGCATTGAGATGATTACATTAACACTTAATGGTTGTTAGAGCAAGCACGGTCACAATAGCCGAAAGGACCCGGGATCGCGTCATGGAAAGCGAGCACGCTGATCAATGGTCTAAACCATGAAGGCCGATTAAATATAGCGAAAACGTGAAATTTCGACTTTAAAAAAATTATTTCTCTAGTGATTTTCTGGAAAGTGCAAGTACTCCATTACTAAATTCTGCTTTAAAATTGTATTGAAAATAAAAAAAAAAAGATTAATTTTACCATTACACAAATAAACGCCACTTAATGATGTTTAAAAATATTTACGAATAGAATTGCGATGCAGGAGTTAGAGATATCTAGGGTACTGGTCATGTATGAGTCATATAAATATATTCTAATGTAACTGAAATTAAAATTCAGTGGTTATTCATAAGAAATAGGAATTATATAACATCCAGAGGAAATAGAAATTATATAATATTTAAGGGAAATAGGCGATTTTTTTACTGAAAAACACATTGTCGGGGCCTGGAAACGAAAGTGTATAAATCTTGTTGATATATTCGTATAGTACATTAATTACTTCCTCTAACATGTTGTATATTCAGAATAGAATCCTCGTTTTGGGGGCCCTTGACACCGAAAAATTGAATAACGCTAAACGTCTTTAACCATCTCCGCCTAGGCATACTAATCTAGATGGTGTTGGCCTGACCAGTCTGTCTGGGGTCAGCGCTAGCGTTTAAAGCGTTCTTATGATTTTCTCCCAAATCAACATTCGCATTCGATCAAACATAATATTTTGATTTGGGGGGCGGGGTACTTTATATGAAGCCCCTGGGACATTGCCAAACCAGCTACAACACTACTAACTCTACTATACAATACCTACAACTAAAATATTAAAGATAGAGATTTTCCCCTCGATGAAATCTGTTCCTTAAAGATAAATTTTGAAATGAAATCATATACAAATTTTCGAAAATTTGAGTACTTTTTGCGTAATTTTGCCTGAATGTGCGGGGGAGATAGTACGTTTTGTTTTAGCACGACTAGTTTTTCTCAATAATGGCTCCAAATATTTTCTTTATTTTTATCCACGCCGTGCACTTTTCTAGTGTGTTAACTTGAAGGACCAGAGTTCGAATCAAGGGGGGGGGGGGGGTCTTCTGTGGGTTCATGTATTGTACTCGTAATAATGTTGCGTAGCCGTTAGAGATAATGCAAGGAAGTGCGTGCGTTTTTGTAGCTCCGCTAGTTATGGCATTCACCGCTCGGAGGGAGTGGCAGCAGCAGCGCCTTTGGCGGGTATGCGCTACTGCCGGGCCGTGCGTACAAGTATCTCCGTAGAGGCCAGCGACCTTCACGTTGCGCCAGCGGAGAAACTCCGTGACCTCATTCCGCGTGGGACGAAACTAGCCTCTGCGCCTCCATCGAAACAAGATTGGCGCGATTGCACTCGGAGGAAAATCAAACGCGTCGTGTTTGTTTTATCGAACTGTGAGACAGAGTGCGAACGGAGCATGAGCGGTTGAGGTCGCAACTATTCCCGCTGCAGAGGCCCTGGCCACGATGTCCCGGAGTTCGAGTTCCGACTGTGGATGTTTAGACATTAGCTATATACTAGATAGGTCGCATTCAGTCGCTTTCTGAAGAAAAATTCTACGGTTTGACTGTTTGACTGCCGTGATCGATAGTTTTGCGAGTGTTCTCCGGTTAGTCCAGGTGAATACTGGAACACTATTTTTTCTTGGGTGATCTGGGCTGTCCGGGTGACGCCGCGTCGAAGGCTGAGTTGCCGACGTTTCGACCATCCTGTCGTGGTCTTCCTCAGGGCTGGTATGAGAGGAAGACCACGACAGGATGGTCGAAACGTCGGCAACTCAGCCTTCGACGCGGCGTCACCCGGACAGCCCAGATCACCCACATGACTCTGGTCGCGGAAGCCTACGACTTCACTATTTTTTCTTGCTCATACTTACCTCCTTTCTCTAACAAACACACACACACACCACTCATTCAGTACCCTACAATACCCTTTTTACGAGCCCCGCAAGGGATAATGCCGTTATTCCCGTAAGTGTGGTGCATGTTTTCCTCTGGCGGTAGCGCTGACCTTCCCCCGCTGGTTGGCGAGATCCGGCGCCGACCTGCGTCGGTTTGTGCTGTTTTCCCCAACCAGGAATATCCCACCTTCGGTGCGCCGCCCCAGCCGGGACAAGGTCTAACTTTGCGACAGGTCTCCCCACATGTGTGGTGGTGAAGTGCAGGAAAGTGTGTTTGTAAGAGGGAGGGATATGACGAGGAAGGGGAAGGAAATATCAGAAAGGTGAATTCGATTTAGCCATGTGCCAAGTGTCAAAAATCCTTCCACCGTCGGTTCCGAGTCTAGGACCTCCGGGTCAGAGGCACTGCAATAACATCAGTTGATGCCCTGAGCCACCTAAGCCTGTCACACGCGTTGGAAAGCATAGAAAGCCACAGATACGAAGGATGTGTTACTTTAGTTTTGTGCCGAAGTCACTCGCATCTATGAATAACTTTACCAGGAAGAATTGTCTTAATGGGGCGCCAACATATAAGGAGTGAATTGCGAAAGTGCTAGAATTTAAAGGAATATTTTCATTATAATGGGCGCTTCGAGCAAGTCCGGCTACCGCGATGCTTGCTCCAATGGCTGTGGCAGATGGAGAGGGAGATCCCGCCAGCTGACGTGTATGTCGGCGCCGAATCACGTTCGGGAGAAATACCGCCACCTCACGGAATAAGACGTGCACAAACACGCGCGGGGCTAATGACTAGATCCCCGATGTTTATGGCCTAAAATGGCGGAAATACGGTCATAAATATCACTTGAATGTTTTGGGGTTGCATTTTCTAAACTCAAAATCTTTCCGCTATTTAAATAACCATTATCTTAAAAATATTCCTTTAAATTCTGGCATTTTCGCAATTCACCCCTTATCTTTTGGTGCCTCATTAAGACAATTCTTCCTGCTAAAGTTATTCGTAGATGAGAGTGACCTCGGCACAAAACTAAAGTAACACATCCTTCGTATCTGTGGCTTTCTACGCTTTTTTCCCCTCCTTCTATATAGCTTACTCTCCCAATTCGCATGCAGATACATTGATAAGAATGACAGAAAACAATTAAATACAATACAAACAAAAAGATAACAATATGACAAAGTATAATATTTCATTGGAAAATCTGACCATAATTAACGAAAAATGACCCAAGATTTTAAAAAAGCCAAAACATAACAGTTGTACTTTATATGTGAAAATTGCATATTTTTATTTATTGTAGGTAAAATCGTGATCAATTATCACTTTTCATGGAAATAAAACAAAGGAAAAAAATATGACTTGTCATTAACATCCGCGTCCGTTCTAATGTCCATAGTAGTTGACGTGCCAGTAAACTGCAATGAAACAACATGTACATCCATAAATGGATAGACCATTGGCGATTTTATGTGGGCAACATTTACTTGTGTATGTGAACATATCTCTAATGCTCGAATTGCTCAATCTGAGCTGTGCTCACCAGAATGTCAGGTCATGAAACGGCTCCTGCCAGGAGTCGAACCTGCGTCGCATGCGCTCGCGGAGGGAAATCCATCACAACTCGGATGGCTCTGTGCCTCTGCGAGAGATCATGTTTCTTGCCAAATGTTGAGTTGCGTAGTTGGAGGAAGTGACCCAATGGCTGTTCCAGGTGATTCGCCACTTTTCTTCATTTCAGAATTTTTTCTAATCGATAACCGGTTACCATTTGCGTGCAGATAGGACACATATTGTACCACACACTAGACATTAACACACTTTGCGTGCCACTACGATCTGGGTTCAGCAGAACGCGACAATACATGAGGGACAAGGGACAAACAAGCATGCCCTACGCGGGACTCGAAACCGCGACCCTTCGGACCGAGACGCTGAGTCTGCCCACGCTCTGGCCATCTCGGCCATCCAGGTCGGCTATTGGGCATTTCGTCCATCCATATTAATTCTGCCCAATTTCGCCGAATGCGTCTCGCAACAAATGGAAAGAAACCCGTATTTCGCAGTGGGAGCCGCGGCTGCTGCGGCGCACGTGTGGAGGGCTGCGGGGCGGGGGCAGCGGTGTCGCCTTTCAGGATGTCCTGCAGATCTCGCCCGACGATGCATCTGGTGCTGCGCGAATGCGGAGACCGTTTGAACGCCTTTGTAGATTCAACAATCGGATCGGCCATCACTCAAACTTAGAACGAAGGCGTTCGACGAAAAAAAAAACTCATGTAAATACTTGTCCTCTTAATGACAGGCGTAGCTACGGTGTGGTAGACATGGCACGTGCCATGGGCGCCGCTCTCAAGGGGGCGCTATTTAGAGTACACCCGCTAAAACAACAAGAACCATAATTTAAAGTATCGTGACAAGGGCGCAAATTCTATGATTGCCGTGGGCGTCTGAATACCTAGATAGGCCTCTTCTCTTAATATCGACACATCCCTTGTAAAGCGGCAGAATTTCGGTGGCGCGCGAATGCGTTGCTGTTCAAAGTACGAGTAATCTATTGTCAACTTTAGTATTCACTCGCCTTTGGATTGTCTTGCAATTTCGAAGGATTTATAATTGCAGTTTATGAAGATATTCTTTTCACGTATCTTCAATATAAAGAAGAGAATTGACGTCCGCAGTTCTTTCGTGTCATTGGATATTCATCCTATAACTTTATATGTAAAATTAAAATTATCAATAACATTTCTATGCACTACAAGTGTTTGTAAAATTAATTATTTTTTGTATTCTGAAAACTTATATTCGAAATGTCACTTTCGAAAAAAAGAAAATAGGAACCATTTCTTTCGTAAAACCTCTGATTGGAAAACTTAAATTCGGGAAATTGATAGGTAATCGCAGATCGAGTGATTTTTGCCAGTTTGTGACTATTACAATGCTTTTTTAAGGCAACTGTGCTTGCGTTGTCCGCCCGATTGAGCGAGCGTGTGTGTGCGTGTGTTGCAGAGGCGGGGACGGCGGCGGCGGCGGAGGAAGAGGAGGCGGCGGCTCTGCGCGGTGCCCTGCGGTGGCTACGGCAGCGCCGCGATCCGCGCGACGGCGCCTGGGGGAACCACACGGCGGCGGCGGTGCTCGCGCTGCAGCTGGCGGCCGCCGCCCCCCCACAGGTACAGGCAGTCCCAGCGCCAACCTCCCCCCCCCCCTTTTAGCCGCGATGGCGAGCTGCCTTGACCCTTGACCAGAGCTGCCGTAACCCTCGACGTCAAGTCCCTTAGTCCCTTGTTCCAGGGTTGCCGGAGTGGGCAGAATTGCACTTTTGGGGCTGGAAAACTTCTCTCTCTTGCGGGACCCAAATTCACTTCGCTAAATACTCCTAATATGCAGAAATGAATTAAAAGATGTGCGGTTTCGGCTGCTTTTCAGATTACGACAAAATTTTTTAAAAAAAGGAAAGAAAAACATGACCTTGACAGTGACTTTTAGTTTTTTTTAGCTTTCTTAAAAATTGTATACATGATTTTTCATTACTTATTTGTTAATTCGTTCTAATTTACTTTGAAAAGTGAGTGATGTTAGTTTTTAGATCTCTAGTATAGAGTGTGTAATAAAAGTCATGGTATTTCGGTCGTAAGACCAGAGTATATAATATCACATTGGAAGTTGATATTAATTTTTAGAACACGCCATTTACAATTAGTCATCTTTTCGAAGTACGGTGTCACAGCCGGCATTTTCCGTTTTGGAATAGGGCATGCCTATGGAAGCATTTCTGTGATAATTTTCTTAAGCGCAGATACTTAAGAGGAGCAAGGAGAGTGAAAATGGGAAAGTAGGGTTAAGTATTTGAAACATTAAAATAAAAAATGGGAACAAAAGGATGATTTTAAAGGTAAGTCGATACTGAATGATTCTAACCTTGCTCTCTAATATTAAAATATAAGTAATTTATTATTACAAAAATTATAAGTTTTTACTAAATTATTAATTACAATTTTCCCAAAATAATTAAACTAATCTAGCATTTCATAGATCACTACCTCAACAAAACTTAAAAAACAAAATACTTACTGGTATTCAGAATACATGTCTGTGACTAATCCATTTTTTTATTTGTTTATTTTGATGGTCAGTTTAATTTCAAATTGTTTAGAAACAGTTAGACAGCAGAAATATTTTACTTTGAAATTAAATTTGTGCATTGATTTTCACTGTTTAATATTAAGCAATGTGATGTCACGTCACGCACACGTATTTTATGCGGGTTTCCTGTGTAGAGACCTACTGACACCTGATGAGTGTGATTTCTAGGATGTGTGTTGTAATTATAAGGAACACTTTTGTTTTGAGGAAACCTAGGTCCGTTAATATATACGCAAAGAAATAGTAAGATTCCAATCTCGATGAAGAGAGGTTTGCCGGAATCATGTGGATGACATTTGCTTAACGCGATTTGTCCTCGTGATAAAGTGTACAAGAGGTGTAGAAAAGAGATAACATTATCACAATATTTCGTAGTACTTTATTTCCTTTTGGAATAACAACACAGTACTGAGACAGACGCGAATGTAGGGGGGCCTTACGCTCCTGGCAAGTACGCCGTCGTTTGTTAAGAGTAATTTGCAAAATGTTACGAGAAAGGTCCCCCATCAGTATAGTTATGAATGTTCTTGTCAAACCTTCATTTGACAAACTTCCGCAAGACCATATACTGGCGTTGGCTTTGGCTCTTATTTTCAGTTGCAATGTTCAATTGCATATTTTAGCAGTACTTAATCCTGATGCGTACCTCAATAAGGGACGTAACTGAATTTTCTCTACTTAGGAACGTTTATATATCCTATTTTCTGACATACATTTGTGGGCATGTACATTTTTTAATATTTTTCAAAAACTTCAAAACACTTGATAAATTGCACCAAACAGTCAATTATCACAATTCTCCATTATAATATTATTTTTATGACAGAAATCAATATTACTCACTATTTATTTTTCTCTATTGAATAAAGATGAAGTATTAATCGCGCAACTGCTCTTGACCGATGACCTTGCTTCCCCCTCTCTGGCAGAATCAACAGTTGAAGGCAAAAGCTCTCAGCGAGCCCCGATGACATTCCAAACACATCTTCCCTGGCGCGAATTAAAAAAAAACTCTTTTATGTTAAAGGCGAGAACTTCTGTCCGTGATTTTCTCCATAAAATCTAAAGATATGACCGAAACAGGTGCATATCCATCACAGGAGATACCTCGAACTCCTGAGAAAGTTATAACTTAAACTATTGAGAAAGTTGCGAAGGCATGTTTAATTCTCCAGAAATTGGCATTGCTTCATAAAATCTGGTGGCCGATTTCGAAACTAATACCCCCACTCTAGCTGCATTTCTTCAATCCATCGGCCAAGAAAAGTTACGAGAGTAATACAGTAGAACCCCGCTAATCCGAACCCCCCAAATCCGAAATTTCGGATTATCCGAACAAAATTCGGGATGGATGAAAAAGAAACAAAATAAATAAAACGCTCATTTGTTGTGTAAAGAAAGGCTTTTATAATTACTGTAGAACTGAGCAACTAATAATTGGAACAAAAGTTGTCGAAATGAAACGGGTATTGCACTGATAACTACGGAGCTTACCCAATAGGTAATTTTCTTTTGCCGTAAGGAACTGAATCTGCTTAATGATGCGATGTGATGATATGTTACGTTGTCATTTTCTCTCTCGCTACGTTGCATTGTCTAATAATCCTATAGATGTATGTGTACGGTACATTTTTTCGGATAATCCGAACATTTCGGACTCCGAACAGACCCAATTAGTTCGAATGACGAGACTTCTACTTTAGTAACTCGTTGCAAACGCGCCTTCAGGTTGAGCCTGCGGCGCCATCTGGCAACAGGAGCAGAGGCGCGCAGCGCTGGGCGTCGCCGGCGAACCCCGAGGGGCTGCTGTCGGTGAAGCAGATGGAGCTGGAGCTGGTGCTGCACCTCTGGAGGTACCTCCGCTCCCTGCACTTCTTTTGTTTCTCCAAAGAGCATGCTGCGGAGACCTGGAATGCATTGCTCAGCCAAAAATGCTCATTTACATCGTTGTGAACATATTTCCTGGCAACATTAATTTTTGAAAAATGTTCTATTTTGATGTTGAAATGTGCATTGTACTTATGAATTGTTAAAATGACTTAATTTTTTTGAGAATAGAAAAAGAAAAAGGTGATGACTGAAAATAAAAAAGCAATCCAAAGAGCAGTGGTCTTCTCCAGAACTTCCCCAAATTGGCTCATATATTGTTTGCTTTGTTTCCATAGCACGTTGTTTTTGTTTTTTATTGAAGTACCTCCTCGTGTTTTAATGAAATATCTTTTTGCTACTGTCACTACTTTTGTAAAATGTGTATTAACCCTATTCCCCCTACTTTCATCCCACTTCTTATCTCCTTTACTTTCGTCTTGGACTGCTGTCTTTCGAATTTGATTTGAGCTTCCATTAATTTCTTTCTTAAATATGCTTTATATTTTTCCAATTCCTTCCGTATTTGAATGTCTAATGGTCTAATAAGTTGAATCTTACTTTAATGTGCATTTTTTCTTCGTATCTCCCAGTTTGCTCAAATGTTATTTATTTGTTTTATCTGACTGCTTTGTAGGAAAAGTTAATGATGTTGTGAAACTATGACGAATACCTATTATTTAATAATTTACTTTAAAACATTGAATTTTATTTTAAATAGCTATCTTTCAATTTAAATGCACTTTTTTGAGCTTTATTAGATGTTTTAATATGGAATAAAGTTCTTTATAAATAGTAAAAGAAAATTAATTAGCTTAAAAAGGCATACATTTGTGTGTGTGTGTGTGTGCGTGTGTGTGTGTGTAAAATGAAGCGTATTTTGAATAACTGTTCATCTCTTCCTAGTCTTTCTTTCCAGATACTCTGAAACATCAGTTAGTTCCCCTCTAATAAATTTTTCTTCGCGTATAAAATGCGTCTGATAAGAACTTCATTTCATGGAATGTTTTTCATTTCTAAAAAAATATTTTTGTGGGTCAGTGAGAGAAAGTAATAAGCCACAATTAATAGTCGAGTGTATTGCCGTGATGTTCTGTAAGTAACCCTATCCTTTGCAGTGTTACAGGTTTCAGTTTTCTCACAAGATGGCATTGTATAACACTGGATTGAGTTCATTGAATCTCCAATAATTTACACGTGTTTGCCATCATTTCACGAGATATAGCTCAAAATTCCATTAATGTGGCATTCGCTATTTTCTCACCAACTCCTTAATTTTCAGAATATTTGTAGGTTTTAGTAGAGTCATGCAGACAGTATAATATAGGCAAAAGGCATTTAGTTTTCCTCACCTTGTGTAACATATTAATATTTATATCCATAACATATTCTATAAAAACAATTCTAATGATATGTTAGGCCGTGTGATTTACATTTTATTGCCTTATTATATTTTCTGTTATTTTAACACCTAATAAACTATTACTCACGGGGTTGTACTAGGTAGATATGATTTTGAATTGAAGTATTAATAGAAATATGTATTTTTAGAAAGAAAATGAGAAAGTAACTGGTAAGCAATAACATTAAAAAGAGTTAGGATTCATAACTATAATTTTTGTGGCAAAATAAGAGTGGAAAACAACATAATTAAGGCTTATCAGCACAACATTGGCTAATCCTCTTAGTCTGGGGATAAACAATGATGTTCTTGGCACTTGAACGTGATCGTTTTTGGATGCTATTTCCAGTATCAAGTCATGAACTTTATAAAACATAATGAAAGTACATAGAATTAAATAATTACTTAATAAAGGGTATCAAATTACTTACGACTTATGGAAGTTAATTTTAGGACATCAGCGATGCACAAACTTTATTCATATATTTCAGTGAATGCAAAGATAAATTTCATGACAAATTATTTTACAGAAATAGTTCTTTCTCTTTTGTACATTACTCAATGTCAGTGGCGACTGGTGCCTCCACTATCTGGGGGTTGCAGTTCAATCAAATTTAGAAAATGTAATTTTCAAACTTCAGAACACCAATACGTAATAAAAACGTAAGCAATTATGTAATATAATACAAAAGTAAGTTTAATAAAAGAATGTATCCAAACATTACTTGCATACTTTTGTGCATAGTGTACCTGTCAGATTGTTCACCTATCGCGCAATGATTTCCTCGAAAGGCACTCAATTTTTTTTTGGTATTATTTCTGCATTGAGACAGTTATTGTCGGTAATATAATTTATGTAAAACAAAAACGGACCATGTTTCGAAAATATGGTGGTCGCAATCCAGCAAGTCGGAAGACATGCTACGGTGGTTCGCCTGCCAGATCACCAGACCTTACCTCCCCTGATTTTTATTTGACGGTTCACTTGAAGGGACACGCGAGAACATGACTGAGAGAATCACCGCTGCATGTCGTGAGATTCCGCCCCAAAAACTTTTCAGTTACGTTCAGTATTTCCAAGTGCGGATAAATAAATGCATCGAAGTGGGTGTCCAAGTTTTTGAGCACTTGTTGAAATGATTATTTAAATCAAGCAACTCGGCGGTGAGAGGCGAGGGGACTCACCTGAAACAAGCAGCCCGTTGGTGATTACAAGCACCCCCGATGTTGTAGCAATTTGAAATTTGATCCATTTAAAATTTAAAAGTTATCCCCCCCCCCGTTCTCTATCAGAGGTCGGGGCTGCTCACTCTTATCAGTACTAGATACGATTCTTGAAAACACACATCACCGAATGGTTGAGCCGCAATAAGCACTCAAAACTTGGTTTGAAATAATGCATTCTAGGCAAAAATTCGCATTGCAGAAACACTAGAGAAACGTGTAAATTATTTATTATTTACAAAAGAAATAAAAATATTTGTTCAAAAAGAAAATTAACCGAGAAATGAAAAAGCAGTCGAAATGTGTTAATTTAGTGCTTTTTTTATTTGAATTATTTTTTCTTTCTGAACGAATATATTAATTTCTTTTATAAATAATAAAAAATTTATATGTTTTTGGAGTGTTTGCTTCT